AATGGATGAAGGGCAAACAATTAGTATTTTGTCAACGGATATGAGTAAAGCATTTGACTCGCTGCATCCCACTTTACTCTTAGCTAAACTCAAAGTTTATGGTTTCACTCAAAACGCGTTAGATTTGATGAAATCATGTTTTAACGTATGAATAGAACAAAAATGCGACAGGTAATCAGCGAATGGAAAGAAACAAAGAGAGGATGTCCTCAAGGCTCTTTTTTGTGCCCGACGTTATGGAATATCTACCAGAACGATTTATTTTATGTTGAACGTAAAAGTCGGCTATCTGCGTACGCGGATAATCATCAGCTTTACTACGCCCATAAAAAACCAGAGAGAGCAGTGGACACTATAACCCGAGATGGAAAACAAACCTTCTGTTGGTACACGGAAAATTTCCTTGAAGGAAATTTAAGCAAATACCAAGCAATGACCATATCGAAAAATTCGCAAGAACTGAATATAGAAGTAGACAGTCGTAAAATTAAGATAACAGAAAAGCTTATCTTGCTGGGTGTGGAGATTGATGATCAACTGTATTTCGATGAGCATACCTGTATTTCAACAGCGTGTAAAAAAGCACAATGTAAAAACTGATAGGTTAAAATAACCAAAAAAAATAGGTTATTTGGTTTGGTCTAGGACAACCCGATAAAAATAGGTTATTTCAATAGGTTAAAAGAACCAGAAATAAATAGGTTAAAGCAAACCATTAAAAATGGGTTGGTTTATACCCATAAGAAATAGGTTGTTTTAATAGGTTAAAACAACTAAAATGAAATAGGTTAAAACAAACCATCGAAAATGGTTACTTTAACCTATAAATCTGTAATATGTCATTTTAACCTATTAATTATTGGTTGATTGAACTAAAGATTTATGGTTATTTTGACCAATTAAAAAAAGTAATTCCAACCTATATTCAAAAGTTAAAATGACTAAAATTTAAACTGTCAAATTGAGCATATTTCAACCAAATAAATATAGGTTGTTTTAACTATAATACAAATGGCGGATATTCACCAATAATATTTTGGTTGATTTGGCCAATTTTTTTAGTTATAACAACCAGTAAATAACGGTCAAAGTCGGAGTACGAAACATCGCGCACTTTCGTTGGTTAAATGATGTTGCGTCAACTGAATAAGATACGCTAAAACGAAATAGTTAAACAATAATTCTGCAGGCAATTAATCATCCAAGTACGCTATAATCAAACAGTATTATGAACTGTATATAAAAATATATTTTGTAACATCTAAAATTACAGTAAGTACACAGTAGTACGTATAGTGTTACTATAGCCTGTGTTCCAGTTGACTACACTGTTACTGACACACAGGCTAGAGAGTTGCATGGTTTTATCAAGTATTATATATTATCATGAAATCATGGCTAAGCACTTAACTAATTAGCATTAATTAGATCGCGATCACCATGCAACCCCGGCCTGTTTGTGCATTCTCAATCTCTCATTATTACAATATGTTACAACAATCGATCGCCATATAATCTTAGTTCTAGCTTGTGTTCTATAGTTCACCGATTGGCAGAGTTTGACCACTCCTTCCCAGCAGAATATGCTCGAGGAACATTGCCAAGGCCATTGAGGTATTCAGCATTAAGAACAAAATATCGTAAACCTCCGACTATAAGCCCTGGGCTTATATTTTTCCGTAAGCGATTTTTGATGGGCTTATACAAAGAGGGGCTTATATACGGGGGGAGGGGGCTTATACATGGACGATCTTTTGTGTTAGTGTAATAGTGACAAACAAGTATAGTAATAGTGATAAACAAGTGTTAAGCATAGTAATAATAGTGATTAACAATAAATGGTGATAACTGATAAACAAGTGGGCTTATATTTGGAATGAGGTGAGCGTTAGTACATGTGGTGGGCTTATACACGGGAGGGGGGGACTTATATTCGGGTGGGGGGCTTATATTCGGAGGTTTACGGTAACGCTGCTAATAAGCATGTAATAGTGCTGATTATAGTACTTCGACCTCTTAATATGGCAACTACAGTATACCATATACCCTCTGCAATGAGGGTAAGTGAACTTATCTCTTGTAGAGATCCGGTTGCCAATAGTGGTGTTGAACACGCCTTTATTCTCTCAGTATGCTGAATTTCAAAATCACTCTGCAAACAAAAAATGAGAATATATTCTATATGCATGCAACATTAAGGATCTTACAAGGAAACTTAACATCACTACCAAATATATCCAGGTAGCCTATGTATGTATGTGCATGCATGTTGCAACTGTACTGCACAACAACCAGCGCGCCCTACTTGTTTTTTTTAAAGGGGAAGTCAAGTCCGTTCTGCGCATCGGTTCTGCTCATAACAATGTGAGGACCTCTAATGTGAACATTGCCCAAATTTCGAATGTTTCGAATTTTTCTGAACATAAACTCTATTTCATATTCATTTAGAAGCATAGCGAACCAAAATGGTGTTAGATATTCAGACAGTACATCATATTTTAAAAAATACAGCAGTTCAAATGTAAACAAACCGTTTGTTTACATTACGGACTTGACTTCCCCTTTAAAGTATATAACTTTCAAGTCTTTCAATGTAAGTGGAATTGCCACATATTTGGCAAGGTCCGCAAGGAAACGTTTTCTTTCTAAAAACTCATCATACAGTGTAACATAAGTCAACATTTGCATATCAAACAAAGTTACATTATGATTTTAAACTAACTTTGCAATTGAATCATAAAATAATTCTTGCATAGGCACTTCACTAGAATGATGAAATCTAATTTCACTGTTCAAGTTAACCATGCAGGCATGTTTTTCTCTCCGTATTTAGCGTACTTTTGCAAACACCGGGACATTTACTCAAAGATATCATTTTAGTTGACGATGACAGTAAAAATCGTGAGTATAGAACCGAATGTCAAGAGAAAAATTGTGTCATTTCAGTTAGGGTATAAGATAGGGGGAAAAAGGTTAAACTATGTTTTCTGAAATTTTCAGCTGACGATGGAAAGCTCTTAGAAAAACTTCCTAAAGTAAAAACGATACGAAATAACGGCAGAGAAGGTATCATGTAATTGATTTATTGACTGTAACCAAGGGAAACAGTAGAGAGGCTCGGATTTTGCTTCCACTTTACTGCTACCACTACAATACCTCTCACTGGCTTAGTGCAAAAAAGCTGCGGGTATGCAGGTAGCACCTGTGAAGAAGGTTTACCATACTGTATATGTGAGGTCAGTGAGGACGGTTTAATATGGAACACTCTGCTCAACACTAACACCATAAAACAAATGAATGATACTTGTGTGCTGGTAGTTTTGTAGTATGACATTTCATAACAGCATCTTTCTTGGCAGGGGTGGAAAAAATAGGCGAGCACGCGAGCACTGCTCGCAGGAAATGTTACAGTTGATTTCACGAAACTTTGGCCACGCCAGTTGCGAGGTTGGTTGGGAATTTGGGAACTATAAACACGAGACCATCAAGTTGATTGGAAACTGGCCAATCAAATTCGAAAGTTTCGCATCAAATTATCGAAATTCGTTATGAAGTTCCGAACCAAGTTCGCAAGCAAGTTCGCAAATTGCAAACGATTTTGGCGGTAAATTTTAAGAATTAAACTTATTGTATTAAACTTATTATAATTTTAAACCTGAAATTATTATTGTTATGATATTATTTATTATTAAATGAATAGGTTTAATACAATAAGTTTAGTTTTTAAAATTTACCTCCAAAATCGTTTGCAATTTGCGAACTTGCTTCATAACGAATTTCATAACGAATTTCGATAATTTGATGCGAAACGTCCGAATTTGATTGGCCGGTTTCCAATCAACTTGATGATCTCGTGTTTATAGTTCCCAAA